GTTCATTAACCATTCACTTTTCAGTTCAGTTTGATCTTGTTTTGTTGCATACAAATAAAATCTAATTATTTCGGTATCTGAAAACTGCTATTCTTTTTACTGTACAGATAAAGCCTGGATGGAAGTACTGGTTACTTTTGGTCATCAGAATTCTCTTTATAAAAAGTTTGCCTTGGAAGTTAAAAAATATGTTTTTCTTGCATATTATTTAACAGATGTCCCTGAGCAAAACCAACCATTTAACTGTAAAATGAGCAGAAGTCTACAGAAACAATTTGAGGATTATTACTAGTCATCTACATTTTACTAGTTTGTTTTTTTTTTCTTCTTTTTTTTTTAAGAAAGCTGAGATGGATAAAATGGTTGCAGAACTGAGGCCCCTTACTCTTTGTGGTTAGTCACATAAATGCTGTGTGGTGCAATGGGTGCAGATTTTTTCCCACTTTCTTTAAGATACAGAAGTATTTGGAAATCTGATCTGGAGTATAATCTTTACAGTTCAAGAGAGAAACACCAGATGTGTTTGGCTGAACGCTAGTTGTAGTTTGTATCTGTAAATTAATCTTGTAGACTCATCTGGTATTGGATGTAAACATCTTTGGGGAGGAATTTTTGAAGAAACTACTGTCCTGTGGGAACCAGTGGAAAGTAGAGGTTGTATCGGAATATTTTCCAGGTAGTAACTGTGGATAAAGGTCTCCTATTTGCCATTTCAGGTAAAATGGGCTGCAGTGAATGTAGTGCTTACCACGTTGGTCTGTTTCCAGTGTGAACGTGTGGCAAGAACAGTGAAAGCTTCAGCATTTGGCAGTTTTCTGTGTTAGACTAAAAAGGCATTGGTAGTATTCCCTGCAGTCCATTTGTGTTGCTTTCTTTTAGTAAGACCTGGCATCCACAAAACAGAAAGAAGTCAGAGGACTTGATCCTGCTCTCAGCTAATGCTGTCAGAGGACAAAATGAATTTGCTGTAACACTGAGAAGCAGTCTGTGCTGGTGGAATATTTCCAGTTTTGTTGTATAGCTAGGTACTTAGATCTCCTGCTGCTTTCCAGCGGTAGCCAACAAGAGCTTAACAGGCTTTGGTTCTGTTTCACAGACCAGTCTCAGTTTGTTCTTGTGTAAAGCTTCTTTTAAGGGAGAAAACATGCATCTTAAAGGTAAGTTCACCTTTGTATTCTCCAAAGCTGCAAAAGGGGAAAATACTGAACAACTGAAATTAGGTTCTGATATTTTGAGGAAGGGCAAGGGGTATGTTGGTTGGTATCAGTGGTTCTATTTATGGAAAAAGAAGGGACAGCACCTGCCTCTACACATGGGTTTGCCCTGGCACCTGCTGATGCCTGCCCTGTCACTATTAGAGAAGCTATAGGGAAGGTCCTACAGTGGCCCATGGTCATCATTTTCTGTGCATGCTTCAGACTGACCTTTTGTGCACCTACAGATATTCAGGACCTCACTCTAACTCATGGTGCTTTACAAAAAGCACCATGAGTTAGAGCCTCCCCCACCACCCCCAATCAAACAGATAGTCTTGGAGGGGGTGGGTAGTCTACCTGCACTGGCCCTCGCCAGTGATGGGGGGAAGGGTGTGCTGCTAAATTGCCCCCCCCCCCCAGCTCTGGCCATTCAAAAACAACCAGCAGCTCTGTGCTGCTGTTCCCCCTCCTCCCCTGTTGACAGCTGTGGGGGTGGGCTGGCCTGGTGCTGCCATCCTAACCACAGGAACCACTGCTAGGAGCCACTGCTGTAAAGTCTTTCAGATGGTTTTATTCCTACCCTCCCACAGAGAACTGAATTAGGAGAGCACTGTTAAAACACCTCAACTTTCTGCAAAGGACGATCAAATTCTTTCACTTTGTTGCTGTAGAATATCAGAGGTTATGGAGCCCTAAACTGTACCAACAAATTAATCTTTTTCTTGGAATCTGTTGAATTTCTTTCTTTTTTTTTTTTTTTTTTACTATCCCACTTGTGAGCAGTACTTGAGAGTATTGATTAATCAATAGATGCATATAGATTGATTATATGTGAATATGATAGAAATGCTGTGTAGGCATGTAGTGGTGTGGCCTAACATTTAAAACAAAGCGGGCTTTTCCTGTGCTATATAGCTTCTTAAGGCTTGTCAATTTAGAAAATATCAGTTAATTATAACTTGTTTCTCAGATCAACAGTAGCCGGGAGTTCCTTAGAATGTTTCTCAGCTTCTAGAAGTAGAATTGTGAATTACTGTTTGGCAGTCTTTCAATTTCTTCGTTATACACTGTGAGAAGTAGCATTGTACACTGCAAAGGAAATCCCTATTACCCAGTCCCGTTTCCCTAGTTGTTATTGGGACCCTTTATGCTCCATGTTGGTAAGAAATAGATTGGGCTCCTAGTGCCCATCTGGTAGAGTGATGACATTATACTTGTGGGCAGGTATGGGAAGGAGATGTCAAGGTGTTTGTGTGTGGTTGGTATGACAGTGGATGTGCAGGAACAAATGAAAGCCCTTTAGCCTGGCTAATGCTTTTGGGAAGAAGACAAGATTTGAGCTTTCTGGGAATGGATTAACTGATTTAAACACAGCACTTGCTATCCATGCTTGAATCAGCCCCCATCTATTGATTTGAGAAAGCCTTCTCCTGTTAAGTCTGTGTTTGGTATTGCATGCATGTATTGGCTGAGCAAAACAGGAATGTACACATCCACACTCCTCTCATGTATCTACATTACATTTAAGGATCCTCAGTGTCTACTATCACATTTAAGGTTAATAACTGAACTAAAATTAATAATATGTAGGTGAAGCTGAGGCAAGCAGAAGTCAGTAATGGCTGTGACTAAATTGGATTAGCTTATTTGTGTCTAAAGAGTTTAAAAGTTTAAAATAAAATGGATTCATCCAATATTTTACATCATATTAATATTATGATATGGTAGTTATGTCAGTTACCAGCTCTTTTTCTCCAGACTATTACTATTTCACAAGAAATCTACCACATTCAGATGTTGCCTTGTCAGTAAATACAGAGCATATTCTAAGTTATATATTTGGTTCTTGTTTTTTTTAGTAACTGCTGCAAATTGAAGGAATTGTATGGCCTTTCGTGAGGTATGGATTTTGGTATGAGCTCTCCCTATGCCTTCTACAGACATTCAGTTTCTCCTGGGAGAGTTGCTGCTCTCCCAGGAGAAATCTGAGTGTACAGATGCTCAAGTTTTTTCACCCACAATAAAAATAGCTACTCCAAGAGAAAAACAACAGGGTAAAAAACTAGGGATGAACCATTCTCAGCAGAGAGTTTCTCCTTGGGCAGTGAATGTCTGTACATGCCATGCACTTCTCTCAGAAGAAAGCATAGTTTGGCAGCATTCCCCATCAAGAATGTTTCTCCCTGGACTCTGTTGCTCCAACAGGGAATGGGACGTGCCCCCTTCACAATCCCCACATTGTGCTGCGGGGAAACACAGACTGACCATGAGCAGTCTAGGTCAGCCAATTGGGGCTACATTATGCACTGCTGCCATCTGTCACTAGACAGACTCATGGAGCCTACAGAGCATGCCTAGATGTATGCTGAGACTGAAGTTTCCCTTTGTAAAATAATGTTAAGCCTTTGTTTAGGTAATATTATCAGTAATATCCAACAGGCTTGTTAAATCTTATTGAATTTGCTTTTTTAAAAAGTCTCAGCATATTACAATAGATCTATGTTAAATGCATCAAAATGGTATCTTGAGCACTTGGATCCAAATATAAGAGTATACATTAGGTTACTATACACATTTTAGATCAGTATTTTGTTTTCTGCATTAAACAGACCAAGTTACTTTTTTTTGCAAGATTAAAAAAAAAAAAAAACGCCCACAAAACTTGGAGTGCTTGAACCAGAATAGCCTGGCAGTGTTTCTCCCCTAATATTCATATTAACTATTCTTTCATTTTTGGTGAAGAAAAATAAATCAGTCATAATTTTCAGAACCTAGAACTTCATTCAGTTATTATTGAATATTTTAGACTTTTCTAAATATGTAGGTTGACTTTAGTTGGATTTCCCTTCACTTTTGTGAATGTCTCCATGCAGACATTTCCCTAGCATAGTAGTGAATTGTTTTTTGATTTTCAGGCCCTTTATGTAAAGGATGTTCCCATTTTACAGCAGCTCTTCTGTTTTACACCTTAGCTAGCTGCCACATTATGAAAGAAATCAAGTCACTCTTTGAAAGTGCTTCACTAACACATCCATTTCCTACTGCAGCCCAACTATGGCATTTAAAAAATGTTTCTTCATATTTCTTCATGTTTCACATATTGAGGATAATTATACTTCTAATTCTCCTTAAGAAACAAAGATAAGGAAGTCCTCGAGTATACTTATGCTGTCCTCACTGTACTCATGGTTGTCTAAAACAGATAGGGTTGTGATCTTCATTTGCTAATTTCTGCTGTAACCAATAGCTCTTTGAGAAAACTACTCACCAGAAATGATGTTGCAGTGCTGCTGGCTTAGGGACAGAAAATTGGGATTTTTTTTGAGCTTCCTGGTTTTTGTCACAAAAGTGTGTGTTGTCTTTTAAGCAACCAGAATTTTCATTTGGATGTTTTGCAGAAGTCCCGAAAATGGTCCATCAACCAGTATGTAATAATGATTTATAGAGTTAGCTGATTATATTAGTTCTTCCTAAATTAAATTAAATTAAAATAAGTCTTTTTCTTTTATAAATTTCCTGGGCAAATAATGCTTTTCTTGGACCTCAGGCTAACTACACAAGCATGAATTTAAGCAATGGTGATCAAAAGCAAAATTTCTTCACAATTAAGGAAGTGGTACTCCTACTCCCTGGAAGGGAAAAGTTTGGAAATTCCTGTTACAGGATGTAGGGAATTCTTCTTTAAAAAGGGGTGGATGTCCAGTTGATCATCATCTTGCAGTACAGCAGTGTATTTACAACAAGATGCAAATGTTTAACCATTAGATGGATCTTTAGCTATACTTGTGTGTGTTTTAATTTCAGCATCTTAACAGTTGATGATGAAGACATATGCAATACTGAAGATTGTGAATTTGCAGCCAAGAAAAGGAAAAAAGACCACTTTAGGAATAACGCAAACTCACAATGTAAGACTAGATTGCTTTTTACTTTTATGGAACATCTTCCAAACCTACTAAAGTACCTAAGTATCACTATAAAACCCACTTATATGGACGTAACTTACTAACATTTGTACTTGTACAAAAATTCACTTTAGATACATGAAAGATACAACTTTTCTAAACTTTTATTTTATTAATCATGTGTCATCAGATATTGATGGAGCCAAAGAAAATGCATTTAGGATTTTATGATTATTCATGAAATGGCACTTCTAATAATCTCAAGGCAACCCGCATGCCAAATTTCTAAAGTACAATTAATGGAGGTTATAGGACCTTTTGTTTGTTTGTTTGTTTGTTTGTTTTTAAAAGTTGGGGGGGACCACCAGCAAAATAGTTCAGGTTTGGTTGTGATAATAGTGCAGGCATCCCTATTTACTTGACTCTGTTTTCAAACAGCACAGCTTTACATGGCAACTTGTCAAACCTGAAGACACAGGGCTCCTATACATGGAAATCCAGCATGTCGGAGCAGCCTTGATTAATCCAGCAGCCTTTTGCGTCATGTGTACCAGCATTGCCGTGTCTCTCTGCACTGAAAAAATGGCAATGAGGCGCTTTGAAATGAAACACATTCAATAAGCTTTAGTTCAAAGTGCCCGCCCACCATTTTTTTCAGTACGAGGACATGTGGTGACGCTGATACACATGCACAGGCACTTTTAATTAGTGCAGCTCACTAATTAAAGTGCCCGCTGCCACGTCCCACAGCACATGTAAAAATGCCTTAAATGTCTGTCTACTTACCCTGACCTGTTAGAGCAGGGGTTGTCAACTGTGGTACGCATATCCCCAGGGGTACTTAGAAAGATTGTAGGGGGTATAAGCAGGTGGGCAGGGATGGAGTGCACCCCAGGGCACAGCAGCGGCATCTCCCCTGGCACGTTCACCTCTTACCCAAGGAAGGGGAAGGAGGAGGGACACGCTGAGTGCCGCTGGTCCCACGCAGCACACCGTGGCGCCTCCCCACCTCCCACCACAGCTTGCTGTTCTGATTGGCTGCTACCCCCTTACAGCAGAACTGTGAGGGTGTGAATGGCAGTGGGAGGCGGTGTTTTGTACCCATCCCTGGCAGTGAGCCATTGGTCAGGTTCCAGGCTCGCCAGCAGCCTGCAGAGCTGTGACCAGCCATGGGAAAGCGGCGTGGCATGCGGCCAAGCAGTGTGGTGGTGGCAGTGGCTGCTGTGTGTGAGCTGCCCCCCACATTCAGCCCCCTCCTCCCAGCACTGTTGCTAGACGCACCCCTGGGAGGGCATGGGGAGTGCGTGCTCCCAGATCAGCACACAGGGCAGGGCAGGCTGTGGGCTGCTGCGGGCTGGTGCTGGGGCAGTGCCAGACTGTTCCTGGTGGGGGTGTTCGGCCGAACTGTGCTGGGAGGGGGTTGAAGGAGCTAAGGTGAATTTTGAGATGGCTACAGCCCCCACCCTGTAGCCCTGCTTCCAGTGCCACTGCTGCCTGCCCCACCCCCCGTGCAGATCTAGGGGGCACACACATCCTCCATGTCCTCACAGAGGTGAATGATTCGCCCCTGCTCCATCCCCTCCTGCACTGAGGGGCTCATGATCCCCATCCCCACTCCCTCCCTCACCACAGTGTGGGGCAGATTGAGGCTCCCGTGGTGAGGGAGAGAACAAGGCAGGAGCAGGGACAGGTGAGTGGGGCCCCAGCCGGCCCAGGTGTTGGGACAAGTGGAGGCCCGGCGGGGGCAACCCTAGGCTTCCATTGTCCCACCACCCGGCCCATCCAGGACCCCACTCAGCCCAGCCCCTGCTTCTACCTGTGCCCCACTCCCTCCCTCACTTGGGGGGCCTTGATCTGCCCGCCCCCCTGTCCCCTCCCCTTGCCCCTTTCCCCACGGACTTACTTGCTGGAGCGCGGGAGGGGAGGAAGCAAGCACTCTGCCTGCCCCAGCCCCACTCCATCCCTCACTGTGGGGGCCTCGATCTACCCCACTTTTAAAAACAAGAAAAAAATATAAAAGGGTACATGAGCTGAAACTTTGAGACCAAAGGGGGTACATTTGTTAAAAAAAGGTTGAAAACCCCTGTGTTAGATGACTTTGTTCACTTCACTTCCCTTCAGTTTCAGAGCTGAATATGTTGGCTAGTCAAGGATGAAATGGATCTGGAGAGCAGGCCTACAGGTGGAGGATACTATTGCTTAGAACCCTTTAGGAACAGAGGAAGAACACTGAACACTAGGGAGATATAGAAAGCTCCTGGTTGAGGGCACAGCACAGCAGAAGACAAGGGGCATTTGTACACGTGCATGCACCACAGCAGCTGGCACTTTGAAAAGCACCCAGTGCTGCGGCACTTACAGTTATATAAGCAGCAAAATGCATGTCAGTACTGAGAAAATGGCAGCGGTGTGCTTTTGAACTAAAACACATCGGAAGCACTTCAGTTCAAAAGTGCACTGCCACCATTTTCCACCCGCTGACGCTCATTTTGCTGCTTATATAACTTCATGTGGCACAGTGCAGTTCACATCAGCTACCGTGCAGAGCAGACTTAATTAATTGAGTCTGCTCTGAAGCAGCGGATCTCCAGTGTGTCACGGGACAAAAAGGTACGCGTGTAAATGCCATGAAGACCTAGAGTCTTCCTATACCTGCAGAGCATATGAACTGAAAGAGGTAGGAGCCCTGTAGGGAAGGTGGCAATGATGCATGCATACAGGGATGCAATTTGGATCGTACCAGGAACCCTAAAATTAGCATTCCCTTCTTCTGAGTATTTGATTTCGCAGGCTAAAAGTGTGTTTTTTTTGTTATTGAGTCTACTAGATAATTCACATAAGCATTTGTAAAGAAAAATTTACCCCCAGCCTCCTCTCCCTGTTTCATGCCTTTGTTAGCTGCCTTCAATCAAAACTTCTTTGATGCAGATAAGAATTTAACAAGTTAAATTTTATCAGGAGTGATCATTTGTTTAACTTTGTCTTTAATAAATATAGCCAATATGATGAAAGTTAAAACTGTTACTTGTATTTGATTTTGTTTTAGGTTTTTATCGTGAAAAATGGATTTATGTTCATAAAGAGAGCACCAGAGAAGTAAGTGTCCTATGCCATGCATCTAGTCTTGCAGGTCTTATATATACTTGAACACTACACATAATAAGTAGTACATTGAGGGTTTTGTTTTCACTGCATGCTAATTGTGTCTTAGTCCTGGCTTTCCATCTCTAAGAAGATGCACACCACAAAGCAAGGAAGTCCATGATCTGAGCCTATGGGCAGGATACAATATGGCTTTTAATGCATGTTATACAGATTTAATGCTGTAAACATGCTGTCATGAGTAGCTGTTGCTGCATAAGGCCACTGGGCAGCCATGCTTGTCTGTTACCTTTCTATATACTTGTTCTACTTGTGCCCTGACCTCTTATTGGAGGTCTGTTTTTTATCCATTTGTTCAATACCCATAGTCCTGATTTGATTGCAGTTTGTGCAGCTTTACCTGCCTCCAGTATTTGAAGCAGCAGAACAGTTGTCCTAAGAACATGTGTATTTGTATGCAACCACATGGCTGTAGAGAGATGCTAGAATCTTATACAGCTGAAGCAAGAAAACTCTGATTATAAGGCTACAAAGAGGAACACTGAATTCGGTGAAAGCACATATAAGCAGCTCCTGGCTGATTGTGTGATTCTTGTATAATTTTCAAATCTCATCAGTAAAGGTACAAGATAAATGGACTAAAACTGAGCTACTGGAATACCAAAAGTAGAACATTTTTTGATTTGTGCATGACATCCTGTCCCTTTGGGGCTCACTGCTTCCATTTCTTCCTGTTTCAGCAAGGGTTCATGTGTGAAGCTGAGAGAAGTGTGGGTTTGGACATATCTATGAAGATTCAGTCCTGCCCTCCCATTGAACACAGCCATTGAGGTTGGGGGGAAAGGTGGGTTGACTCTAGCTAGGGAAACCATCTTGATTCTGACAGAAACTCATCCTCTGACCTAGGTAAAGCACTGTGCAGTATTTTCCCACACTGAAGAAGCAGTGAAAGATTTGGCACCTTAGACTAGTATGACAGGAGCTACCACTTTTTTTATAAATAGCTTATTATAAAATACCTGAGCAGATTCTTTACCCCAATCCTAGCTTCAGCTTCTTTTGCTCCTGGATACAGTTTCATTACACTTGTCCACACTGATCCTATTCCCTTACTCTCCTTATCATGCCACTCAATATGATGGACAAGTGAAAAGAAAACACATGCTGGCACTTTGTGGATGAATACAGTAGGTTTTTAAAATAAAAAGTATTTAATGTAAACAAAGTTAAGATTTGTGGTTGTATTCTGACTAAACTGAATGCCTATGTCTAAAGGCGCTGATTACCATACTTGACAACTTGCATTTTAAGATTTGTGTAGGGTCTTCTGCTGCAGAAATTGGTTTACTGCTCATCCCATCTTCATTTGTGTCTGGAAAGCAATAAAATAATTTTCATTTGGTATGAAAACAAAGACTGCCTATACATGTACTGCTCCACATTCTCACAGAATGCTCCAATGCGGCCTCACCCTCACACGTATACGCCTCTGCACATTTAAAAATGGCTGCAGGGGTGCTTTACACTTCATCAAATGAGGTTTAGGTAAAGCAACTGTGGCCATTTTTAATGCACAGGAGCTTAATACATGTGACAATGAGGCATTTTAGTTAAAGCAGCTCTCTGGGAACCATTTTTTAATTAAAAAATCCCCACCCACCCCTGAATATGTGTATAGGCAGCCTAAGTGTTCTCTAAGACTCCTTGGTAAAGCACAGTGATTTTGCCATCACTGTAATGTGCCTCATCTGATAACTTGTTAGGTTGACCTCTGTCACAAGACACTGAGAGAGGTTTTTTAATTATTATTTATTTATTTTTACTTAGCATGAAACAACAGTTCTTTTGCTAATCTCTTTATTTCCTGGTATCGGAAGCAGCACGACCTCTTGTAGCCTGTAAAAGAGGCAATATAATGCCAGCTACTGTTGTGTTTTCTAGCCTCCTTCCCCATCAAAAAGTGATATGGCTAGCTAGAATTATTCTGTACTTCTTCTGAGTTCTTTGTGAGAAGTTCTCAGCAG